CCTTATCCTTCTACCTGAGCCTGAATTTATCACACGCTCCGAAGCCTGAATACATCCCTCTGTGAATCTGATGTTATAAATGTACATGAATTTGTTTTGCTCCCCACCTGTGACTTAACCTAAGCCTTTCAGTGATAATGGAACACGCCTGTCTGTGAATTTAATACAACACGGTGAGGCAAACACAGAGGATGCTTTTGTGTCTTGATAGTGAAGTTTGAGCAGGAAGACAAAGGCTGACTCGATTCTTATCCTGCAAGATTTAACCATTGAGTTTGACACCATACCGAAAAGGCTGCATAACCAGGTTGGTATTTCTGGTTAGGGTTAGGGTTATCTAGCAAAAGATATTTAATTGGTTACTTTTAACTACCATAAATCCATCTTTGCTCCTCGGTTTTGTGGAGTTCCCCACAGCTCTATTCTTAGACCTGCCTCGTTCTCCCTTTACATGCTTCCTCTGGGTAGTTTGATCGACTAACGGGCAAAACCCACGGGGTCCGGAACGGCTCCACTCTGTAAGCATTATAATCAATGTGAGTCATTTCACAGAATCCGTTTGGTGTCAAACTCTGGTGCGGATCGACTCCGGCAACCGGATCAGATACGCAAGGCTTCTATTTTTGCCGGACGCTGGAGCACGGCGTGTCAATTCAGTGCAGCACAGCATGAGCAGCAGCGGAAGTTGTATGCCGTTACAAAGTAAAATATCCAGTTAATTTTCAAAATAAAATAAAGTCAATGCATTGAACTGCTCTTAACTTAATAATGGGAGAGGCCAAGGTTGTGGGATGTGGGTGTTTATATACACGACCGTTTATAGACACCGATTGGCGGATCTTATTCTAAACACGCAAGACCTCATGAGATCTCGTCCAGTCTCGTGAGAAAGATCGGTAATCTTTCGAGCGCTTCTTCTCTGATGGTGGCGGCGGATTGGATCCGGTGGGCACTGTATTCAGCTTCCAAGTTATTCCCTGGCATGCAAACTAGCCGAACTCAGTCAAACGGATGTATAGATGGTCCCATTATGTAGGTATGAGAACTTTTTGGTTGAGTTTTTGTTCGTTTGTTTGACTTTCTGTTGCTTGTATGTATCCCTAACCCTAACCCTAATTCCTGGGCTTGTGAAGCACTTTGTATTAATCTGGTGTTTAAAGTGCTAGAAAGATGACATAGTACCCACTAGGCAGTCTCACTTGGGCAGGATCGTGTACCAAAGATGAACTCTTTGCTCTGCAGACTTTTTGTGGGGGAACATTTTCACATAACCCCCCCATGATTGTCTTTAATTTGGAGCTCTTGAACTTCCTCAGCCCTCGACCCCAGATGAGTAAACTGAGGATAATGTATTACTCTGATTTCCACACTGAAAGAGGAAAAAAAAAAGACTGAATCCAGAAATAGCCAGTACCCAGTGCGCTGTCAGAGCCTTCAGCACAGATGTAAAAAGACCCATATGGTGAGAGTCTAACTCTTGAGCGTCCTCAGACACGCCTTCTGACTTTCTCTTGACTGTAATCTCAGATCAGTGAAGTCAGAGAAGTTGTCAGACGGTCCGAACGTCACTCTGTCGAACAGAGACAGAATGAGCCTCATTGTCAGAGTGTATATGCTCCAGACTCTCTCTTTCGGGTTCACTCAGCGTTTAAACATGCTTTGCTTGGAGCTGACCAGCCGTTGTCAAGGGTCAATACCTTTTTTAGTCTCAGTCATGCTTTCTAGCTCAACTCATATGACGCTTCAGTGGACACATCTGCGAGCAACTGCTGGACTCGAGCCTCGTACTGGCATCTGCTTTTGTGTGTATGAGTATGCGTGTGTTTGTTGTTGTCTCCCAGGCTTCTGGATCATCTTGCAAAGAGTTTCTTTTTTGTGAATTCATGGTCAGAGTTCAGATCTAAATGAGAACAGCAGGCGGCCGTCAGTGTCACTCCTCACACCAAAAGTCAGTGAGCAGAAAGACATATAAAGTCTAACTGTGCAACGATTAGATTCATGCAAAATAGGATGTGACACTGGCGGAGCTAGATGCAAATTAAAGGCAGGGGTTAAGATTTTATGCTAAACAAGCTGGAGAGAAATTGCAGCAGTAGACTTGTTGGAATACTTCTCATTGCAGATTAGCTTGATTGCATTCGTTTCTGATAACATCACATCGTGCGGGTAACTTACTTCCCTCAGATGCACATCAAAGCATCTTTTTCCTCCTATCCTACTTTCTCAGAATGTATTATTTTATTATTTTCCAAAGTATGACAAGGTGCCAAGTGTTTGCAATAAGCTTGTCGACATAAACACCTGTCAAAGTGTTCTGTTTAAGTAAATCCCACAGCTATTAGGTTGTTTGTTTTCAGCGCGGCCAGAATAACAGCTGCTTGAGTTGATTTTGAAAAATGTAGAAGAGGGAGAGGGAAAGGAAAATAAAAAGGTTTCTTGTTGCTAATGCAGTTGTGGTTGAGTCCAGGAAACAGCGAGCACTCAAAACCACATCGAGTGATTGTTCTAACACTCTAATGAGACCCATGACACACTCCCTTTAATTAGCACACCTACTCCTGCCAATGACGGGCATCACATCACCACACCTACACTTTCCTACCTGACAAACACTGAATGAAGAATTTTGCTCTGGAAGGGAAGCACATATTACAAGGTGGTGTGTAAAAAAGGTAGCTGTTTTATGAGACCTCTTTGAGCATAAATTGCTAAATTTGTAAATACACGGTCAAACTGATGTTTGTTTAGGTGTGTTTGGATATGAATCCCAGTTATAGCAGTTGCTGCTTTTGGAGATGCTAATGCCCAACTATGCCAAATTACGCAACTATGCAAAAGTGTCTGATCTAGTGATCTGGACAGAGTGGATGTCCTCCTGTGGAAGGACACAATCTACTGCTTATACAGTGATGAGGCTGTCTTTATAGAGACATCTCGTTATCGCGCAATTGCATGTGAATTCGCAGGTTCTTTTGAGTCCTTGTGATTCCCGCTGTCCGAAATTCACCATGAAATTCACCTCACAAATGCATCCACCAGTGGAAATTTGGGGTAAGCCTTTAAGAACATACAAAAATGAATAGCACAGAAAAAATAAAACAATTTTTCAAGATGTAAACTTTCATTTTGCTGAAAAAGTGGGTGTTTGAACCCTGGAGCCAATGGTGGTCCCTTTGGTTTTCAAAGACTCTAAAGAAGCTGTTTTTTTCTTCTTTTGCATTTCCTTCACAATTACCAGCAAAGGGTTAGATACATAATAGACATTTCCCACACACTTATTATGATAGATGAATAGATGATAGGTGGAAAAATGGAATAAAGAAATGAATGTATAATTGGAATGATGGATAATTGGAAATTGTAATACATCATAGATGATGGATGAATAGATTGATGTTGGAGATGAGTCAATTGATGGTAGATTGATTGGTGGGGATGGATGATTTATGGATAGATGGGGGGTGGATATATAAAAAGAAAAGATATATTAACAACCAGCTGTACTGCAGAAGATTGGAAAATGAACAAATAGATGAATGAAGAGATAGAAAATGAATAGATGGATAGACAAATTAGGATGGATGGATGATGGATAACAGATCAATAGAAAATAAGCTGGATGAATGAATTGGTGAGATGGATGGAGGGATGGAGAAATTGATGAGTGATGAATGGGTAAATTTAGTCCTGGACGTGAACATAAATGGATACATGAATAGATGAAATAATGGTTGATAACAGAATATATAAACAAATGGATGGATGGATAGATGAATGGAAGGATGGATGGTAAGACAGAAAATGGATGGATTGATGAATGGATGGATTGATGGATGAATAGAAGGATGGATGGAGAATGTTAAGACAGAAAACAGATAGATGGGTTGATGGATGAATGGATGACGGTGAGAATGAAAACAGATGGATGGATGGATCATAGAAGGACAGAAATGAGATGGATGGATGGATGGATGGATGGATGGATGGATGGATGGATGGATGACGGTAAGAATGAAAACAGATGGATGGATCATAGAAGGACAGAAATGAGATGGATGGATGGATGGATGATAAGAAAGCAAACAGACAGATGAATGGATGGATAAATGGTGGTAAGAGAATACAGACGGGTGAATAGATGGATGGATGGATGGATGGATGGATGGATGGATGGATGATGGTAAGAGAAAAAAGATGGATGGATGGATGGATTATGGTAAGACAGAAAACAGATGGATTAATGGATGGATGAACAAAAGACAGAAAACAGATGGATGATTGGTGAATGGAGGGATGGATGGATGAAGCAGAGACAGTCTATTGTGATCAGGAACTATTTCGAACACCGGGTTGATCTTTGATTGATCGTTAACGTGATCGTGTCAGACTTCACTTCTGACCTGATGTATAAAATTATCAAACACTGTCAGTCTTCTGTCTCTGCTGTCATGAGTGAACCGTCTGTTATTAAACTTTGCTAACCAGACAGCTGCAGGTCATTGTCATTTATTTCCCCGTTGAATTGTAATGGGGAACGTGATGGACGGATGCTTGGTAAAGATCAAAAATAAAACATCGAAGCGGAGACGACAAAACTCGAAACTCGCTGATGGAAAAGTTTGGGGTCTTTTATTTTCTTCACAATGGAGCCATGTTATGATGTTGACTTGAGGATGTTTGGGGGCTTTTGATTGAACTGGACCAGTCTGCGGTCCTGATTATAACTGTCAGAAAGGATGGACAAACATCAGATGATGCCATTTCATTTTCTCTTGTATTGAACTGCAAACACCATTAGTTCTGCAAACTGACCACCAAACAAGCAGACACCATCCATAACCCCGGCTCTGTTAGATGTTGTTTCCGCTCAAATAATGCCATCATGAGCCTCTGGGAGTCTTGTAAAGGTGATTGTTATTTGGTATTTCACATCCACGACAGTGGCTCCTCTCTGGGTCAGAGTATTGATTCTTTTTCCTCCTTTTTTTTTTGATTCTGACATCAGGTGGCTGCTGTGTTTGTGGATTTTCTTTCTTCGCTCCGCTTTGTTGACACTTCCTCTCAATTTTTGAAAGATCCTGAGGCCGCTGTGATATTTCCCCGAATCGATCTGTTTGATCAGAGGCAGCCTGATGGAAGCGGACAATTTGTCACCCGGTCTGCGGACCCGGCTCTGTATGTCATCTGTCCGATACCGAGAGTCATTTAGAAGCATTACCGAATTAAGCGAGGCCGATTCACATTCCTGTTGACAGGCTTGATTCGGGCCTGGGCCGTGATTTATTCCACTTTAAATTGAATTAGTTAACCTTTCTGTTACTTAATATAATTGTCCTGTTCCTCATAATTCATATTTGTGTTCTCCATGTTTGAGTGTGCGAGAAGCTGGTCCAAAAGTCATTTAATCTTTGGCCACTTAGTGTTTTACAAAACGGAGAGATCATTCATGCTAATGGTGCTATATTTCAAATCGGTTCATTATTTCATTTAATTAGGGCAGTAAAATGAACAAATATTTGGCTGTAGCGCGAGCAGCTGGCATTTTTAAGGAAACATTTTGAATTGATTAATCGGCCTCATGCGTCTGTGGGGAAATGACATTAAGAGAGAGAAAGAAAACAAGTGATGGCGGATGTCAGAATGTCACTTTGAGTACTTAAACCTCTGCAGCTCGCCATTAAGACGCACTCATCTGTTATTCCCACCTAGGAATTACTCAAATTGCGGCTTATCTTTGCATGAAAAATAATGCATACTATGAAGTATGAGCTAAATACTAATTTGCGACGAGTGACAAAGCCAAAGACGAAACCTGATGGAGCGTTTCAAGCTGTGTTTTCGCTTTGCGGCTAAGCTCTGCTGAAAGAAAGAAAAAAAAAAAAACACGCTCCAATAACAGCCTAATAGGACGGAGGCTGATGATGAAACTTTTACTGTCGTCTCCCTCATTATCCCATAAAGACACTAAAAAAAGTCCGAGAGGGTGAGAGGGAGACGTGCGAGAAAAGCCACAGACAGAAACACAGAAGGGAAGGCGTGATGAGTTTGGAAGAGGAATAAAAAGAGCGCTTATTCAGTTGAGGAAGATTTACGACCTAATGCCGATGTGGTTGTGAACTTTTTAGTGCTCTGCCTCTCTCAAAAATCTCCTCATCGGGGTCCTCGGTAATTCCGCAATCCTGCAATCAACATCCTGTCTCCATGTAAATGCGCGTAAATGGCTCCCTACATGAGGAAATTTATGGCCCAGACAACACACCCTGAGATTTAGGTTCAAAATTGCACTCAAATTATTGATTTACACATCAGCTCAGTTCCCGGGCATTAAATCCTGGGTATTTACGTCCTCAGCTCCGAAGATATAAAAATAATTACGCAGAGTGAATCCATGATGTGTCGTTCCTCAAATGAGGGCGCATTTTTGGTTGTGAATATCTGAGCTGATTTCTGTAATGATTGATTTCTTTTTCAGAGGCTTTCTGAAGGAAAATTGGCATTAGTGGGTTTAATTCAACATATTCAATTTTAGGAATGGTGTGCACTAAGTTGTACTCATTTCAACATGACCCTGTTAAAATCTATGACTGTTTTTAGCCCCATTAACATGATTTCTGTTGACCTCTGTTGCTCTCTGAGGAGGCAATCTTAAGCGCCTAAGAAATGTCAACTCCAAACAACGCAGAAAAATCATTATCTTTGAAGGAATGCACAAGCTATCTCTGACAAAACAATTAAAATCAGACCGCCTCTGATGACAAGGGTCAGGGCCCGCCACGGTTGCTTTGGAGCTTATAGCCTTCAGACGTGTATGTGGCTAAGAGGCAAGTGGATAAAAGCTCAGCGCAGTGTACTCCATTATAATTATCCATACATGAGAGCCAATTATGCTGCTTTTCATATAGAGGGATAGCCAGCCCACATGTCAATGGAGGGTTTGGCAGAGTGCACTAGAGAGTGAAGGCCATCAGTCAAGTACATACTAAAGCTGCTGACGCTACAAGAAACACAATAACCGCTGTGAGGAACGACTGTCTGCACGGCTGGTTGTAGAAGAAAATCTAAAAGCATGGACTTTATTTTAAAGCCGCAGTTTTAAATCTTGGTGTAAAGGTTGACAATGATTTTAAATTGGATCAACAAATCAACTCTGTTGTTAAATCCAGTTTTTATCATTTGAGGTTTTTATCCAAGATTAAATCGGTTTTATCTTTTAAGATCAGATTTGCTCCAAAACCACCCGGTGCAACTAAGCACCTGCTCCAACATTTAATGCATCCTTTACGTTGGAATGACATTATTTATACATACACTAGAGGGCACCACTCGGACTCAAAGCCACCTTAAAATAGACGAGTAAGAAGGTCAAGAATACAGCACACTTCGCGACAATGGGGAAGATGTTGTGTGTCTTTTCAGAGGGGAAAAGTCGGAGGCAGCATTGTAGGACAGTAGATTTCATTTTATACTCAATGAAATGTGGACGGAGAATCAAGAAGTACTGCTGTATCTGTTTCTAAACACACTCAACTCATCCTACAAACGCCAAGCGATCATTTCCGTAATGAACGACCTTGTCTGCTGTTTGTGATGTGAAGGTCAGGGTTTGAGTCTCTGCCTGCCTTTTGTTTCTTGTCTGCACCATAAACAGCTCATTCCTAATATTCTCCCTTCACAGAGGAGCACACACATTGCATGTTTGCTTTCGGGTTCCTCAATCTGACTTCCAGAGTTTGTTTTTGCTCACACCGGGACCCTCTCGGGACTCGCTCTGCACGCCCCGCTGCTGTCAGTGTACTGTAAGCAACCCCCGAGCTGTTTGACTTTGTGAAGTTAAGCCGTGGCGCTGCACTGTACAAGAGGACTTCCTTGCATAAGTAAGAGCTTACATAAATGTTTAAAGTGTTGGTTCACTGACAACACATACAGAAAAAAAGAAATGTTTTTCTCTCTTAGCCGAGGAGATATTTTTTAGTTTTATTGCTGGAGTTTAAAATGAATTACTTGAACCACAGCCAAGTCGGTGCGGTTAGAGGGATTTATTTGTGGTCGCTTAGATTTTAAGAATAATGCATCTTTACAAACAAACAAGAAAATAAATAAAACATTCACTAAGTTTTGTTAGACTTTAAAAGTTTGATTTTACATGTTTTGATTTCAGTTTGTAGATTCCATTCAGAAGTCCCATCTGGCCTCTCCCTGGTGTAAATTACTGAAGCCTTTAGAAGATCCTGAGAGCTCTGAGATCTGCAGATATGCAACTTTTTTATTAAACTCCCAAATACGAATGGCATTACTAGATACTGGACAGAGACATGAATTAAAGCTGTACAAAAGTACAAAACGCCAAAATTACCGTAATTTTAACTCACAAGCTGACTGGATTAGAGCACTTACAGCTTCTACAGGATATCCGAATCTCAGTACATGTCAGCGCCATTGAGCTGAAATCAAGAACAATAGAACTCCTCATTTATGATTTTTTGTTTTAAATGTAGTATTTGTGTTTTGCCTTGATTTACCACTTGTCTTTATATCTAAAATTCCATTTAAAAAAAATAATAATAATTAAGTCCCACTCCAGTAGATTTTTTTCTTTTTTTACGATTTAAAGTGTCATCAGTCGTGTTTACAAGTTACAACGTCATTTAGCAGACGCTTTTATCCAAAGCGACATACATACAAATCATACACTAGTGGAGGAGACACACTGGGAGCAAGGTAGGTTAGGTGTCTTGCCCCAAGGACACAGAGGACAGACTAGGGATAGGGGGGCAATCGAACAGCCAACCGTCCAGATGTTAGATTACCGCTCTACTTCCTAAACTACCTCTGCCCCTTAATTTAATGTGTGATTATGAAGGTTTTAACGAAAATCACATTACCAAGGGCTTTTTTTTCTGCAGAGCTCCACTAGATCGTTAGCAATTCACCTCAGAGTCGTGGGCGGAGACAGCGCTTCTCTGCACACTCCTCGTCACGCAAGCTTGCAGCCTAATATTGCCGGTGAAGTAGAAGTGGCAGGTAACATAGGAGCTATTCAGCTCTCAGACACTAATGTCTAATATCATAATTAGCTTTCTTAAGAGCTTTGCAATCCACGCTTGTTCTGCGATCATTCTCTCTACTTCTCGAAGTCTGGTTTGCTGAGTAGGGCAAAGGGGGCGGAGCTTGGAGTTATGACGTAGGAAATCTCACTGTGTTTGAACCGGCTGTTTTGGGTCTGTTAGAGGTTTGCAGTGATTTGAATGCAGAAATACCCAGAAATTGAATTTTGCTCTGAGTTTTCTCAAGATACGTCCTGGAAAAATTCCATATGAACATGTAGACAACAAGAAAAACATGATTTTCATCAGAGTGGGTCTTGCGTGTAATCCTAAAGGTCCCCTGTCCGTCCCATTTGAGGCGTCATAAACTAAACCTCCAGCACCTGTCAGTGCCTGTGCAAACCTCTGCAGAGCAGATCCGGTTCATCAGCCTGACTGTGCTGCAGGTAAGACCTTCAAACTCCCTCACATATGAACAGGCTGGATACGCATTATACACGTTTATACAGAGAAATGCATGTTTTATACTCATGGGTGTATACATGTACATACTCAGGGGTTATATATGTACCATGGTGTATCGCTTTTTGTTCGAATAGTGAATGAGAACAGCTTGATGGCAGAACATGCCTGAATACATTCTAAGTAAACACTGGAGCTGAGAGTCCTCCACAGCTGTCGGGTTGTTTTTCACTTGAATGCAGCCTTTGTAGACATTGTCTAATATACCCAATGTACTGCACATGCTTAGTTATTTAAATGAACGCCACACTTTCAGCCAGACACAGTCGGATCTTTTCTTTCCGCCGAAGGTTGACGGCATTGTTCTGCTGATGTGCTTCATTATTTTTATTCTACGTATCAGAGGCACAAAGTTTACAAGGAAACCTGAAAAAAAAGTTTTGTCGGAAAAGTTGGTTTTACCGCTTTGATTCTCCTTGAGTCGGTTGGACATAAATGCACGAGAGATTCGGTTGCAGTGGCCTCAGCAGAATAATTGCATGATAAAGGACGTCTACGATGGCCGTGACGGTATCAAAACGGTACAAGTCGTACAGACAAAGGAGAAGTCTGAGGCAAATGGAAAGAAAGTAAGAGAAACCATATCACAAATATAGAAGTAGCCTGGAAAATCTACCATAAAAATAATGAATACTCCGAGGAGCCTTGT